ATGCACATTTCAATTAAAGAAATGAAGATATCATTACAAAATGATCAATATGTATAGTATCAAAGCAAATGGACATCCCGTTTTCAACAAGAATTTGAAAATATCACTTTTTACCAAAATGACAAAAATATTCATCAAAATTAGAGAATTGAAGATATCATGAAATGAATAAATCTAAGAGAGGTCTACATGTAGTACCTATATGCATATGGGAACGCCAACAGACAACCACTCATATGATAAGCTCCGCTCGACAAAGGAGCTAAAAAGCACTATATTTTATGTGGGCGTTTGAATTTGAAATTAAATTGTATACTTGTGATCACATAATTGTTTATAAGGGTAGAATGACCCGTAGCTAATAACGGCCAAGCAAATTTCAAATTTGTTCTGGAATCTAACATTTTGGTTTTTGACGCAATTTCAATTGAAGAAATTGAGGCAAGTAATCACAATTAACATTTTAGCTGTGATTTCCAAAGTTATGCCTGTGGTGGTGACATTTAGTTTTCAATAATAGGATTTTGAAATGAACGACAAAAATCAAAATCCTATTTTCAATTTGGGACTCATTTTATTGTCGTCTGAAATATGCAAATAACAGAAAATGCTCCTTGGCGATTCAATAAAATGAAAAGTCACAAATTGAAAATAGTATTTGTTTGAAATTCACTTGGCAGTCATCAGCCACGGACCATAGAATGCTTCTATGATGCAATTATTTTCCATTTTAGTAAAAGTTCTACATTGAAATCTGATTGAAAACAGTTTTTCACAGAGAAGCATTGCCCACAAAATCTACCAGTTATAGGCACCATCTGCAACACTATTCAGAACAGGGCTCATCGACAGTTGTAATTTAGGAAAATAGACGAGAATGTCAAATGATATTCAGCCATATTTACAACCATAATTTGAATTTTCATCTTCAAGATATCACACAAGTCACATGGGTAAAAATAAAATTGAAAAAAAAAGCAAAATGTATTCTGATTGTATACATGATTTTTACCACCCAGCACCCCTTTGTTACAATGATTGTGTCCAGGGGAGCTTGATTATACATTATTATTTTTATATTATGGAAGCTTGACAGAATGTTTAATACAACAAATTTTTTTTGCAATCCACCTGTAGCAAACATAAAATGTCTATTTGATCCAAAATTAACAAAGAAATTGTACAAAAATACATAAAAATGAACAAAATGTTGCATAAAATTGTGGTGACAACAAATTATGGCATCCAAAATGAATATGGCTCGGTTGCATGTTAAACCCATGTGCTTATATGTATATAACATGTGCTTATATGTATATAACAGAAGTCATGATGTGATGTAATGTAATGTACCCATGCTCAATTGATATACCGGTACCAGGATATATCACATTACTCATCAAAATAGACTGACATGGTAAGCAATATTTATTGTGTCCTCACCTACAGATTTACTTGAACACAAACTAGTTTGTGTCCAAGTAGATCCATTGGTGAGGATGGAATAATTATCACCAACCACATCAGACTATCAATAATTGGTTGGCGAGGGCACAATAACTATCGCTGATCATGTCAGGCTATCAATAGAATAACCCCATAATCTACTATTAACATGACATGAAGGTCATGAAGGTTATATATCATAGCATTAATACTTTTATTTGTGAACACACATTACAGATAACCTCAAATAAAACTGATATTTGCTGAACATTAACAATGAATAGCAATATTAAGGTAGATCCTGGGCATTCAACCTTATAAATAGGGCGAAAAATTTACCATATTTCAAAAGTGTCAAATAATTATTGATTTTGATACATGTCATAAAACATTTTTTGCCCTTAAAACTGCCTAGACAAATTTCAGTTTTCATAAAAAGCTAAGTTAAAGCATTTCCATAAAAAATGAATAGAAATGATTATCTTAATGATTTGTGACAACCATATTTTGGGATATGGTGAGAACTTCTTACCAAAGAAAGCAATATCAAAAATTATCTCTTTCATGTTTGACTTGAGTATTGTTTTGAAGCCCACCCACCAGTGATGAAGAAATTCAGGATTGCCTTTGATTTCCAGAATTACAAACAAACTTCACGTTTGAATTTTCATATAGATTTGAATCATTGCAGCCCTGAGACACTGCAGACTTTCAGTTGATATTGTCTATTTCAGTGCAGCCCTGAGACACTGCAGTCACTCAGTTGATATTGTCCTTTTTCAGTGCAGCCCTGAGACACTGCAGACTTTCAGTTGATATTGTCTATTTCAGTGCAGCCCTGAGACACTGCAGTCACTCAGTTGATATTGTCCTTTTTCAGTGCAGTGCTGAGACACTGCAGTCACTCAGTTGATATAGATATGAATTATTGCAGTCTTGACACACTGCAGTCACTCAGTTGATATTGATACTTTCACATAACCTGTCTCAGTTTGAAACTGATGTCCATGCAAGTGACAAAAAAAAAAGTCAGTTCCCCAGAAATAAAATATACATAATGATATTTTTGCAAAATGTTCCAAGTGATAGTGATCATAATGGATATGTAAAAGGGATAAGTGTATACCTGTAATAAAAAAAGGAATGAGTGGGCTGTACATCAAAAATAAAAGGCTATGTGAAATTTTATAGCACATAGTGTTTTTTCCAGGAGAAATATATATCACATCAAATTCCATCATAGCACTGCACCACATTTTGAGGAAAATCGGTACATGTTTCACGCTTGGATATTGTCTGCTCAACTTCTACTTGAGATCCATTTGTGATATTGGGAATATATGTTCCTGGATGTTTATTCCGTATGTGCTTTGTAAGTCCATATTTTTCAATGTATCCAAGTCCACAGTCTTCACATTTGAATGGTCTCTCACCAGTGTGGTTTCGCATGTGTCTTATGAGGGCGCTCTTAAGAGTTCCTCTCCAGTTGCAGTATGGGCATTTTTTTCTCCACATTTCTTTTGGCAAGTGAATTTTCTCATGAGCCTTGAGTCTCAATGCAGTTGTTCCTACATAGTTGCACTGTGGACATTTATGTTCCTTGCCATCATGGCAGTGCATATGTTGCATCAGGTGACTTTTATCTTTGTAAACCCGAGGGCATTTATCGCACATAAACCTCCTTTCACTGGAGTGAGTCACAGTGATATGTTTATCAAAGTTCTGTTTAAATAATGTTTGAAAGTTACACAAATCGCATTTATAAACTGGCTTTTGTGTGTGGCTACGTCTAACATGCACTTCTATGTAACTTTTGATGGGAGCTTTGTAGTTGCACTCTTGGCACGAGAACATTTTTCCTCTGTGAACTTCTCGGTGTTTGAGTAAACTTCTCTGGTTTTTATAGTCTTTGCCGCATACCTCACAAATAAAGTTTCTAGATGCAGCATTTACAGTTACATGATCCCTCAACGCAGACTTATCCTTACAAGTTTTAGGGCATTTATGCGTTTCAGTTGTCTTCTGCAATTGTTTCTGCTCTTTTTCTAGCTTCTTTTTCTTTAGTTTGCATTTATACGAGTGTCGCTCAAGCTGATCAGCAAAGGCAATCAACTTCTCGCAGAAAGGACACTGAAACATACCACTTTGGTGCACATCTGTGATGTGTTTCGTCATACCAAGTTGGTCAGCGAATTTCACATTGCAAGACTTACAGAAAAATCGCATTGACATTTTATCCCAGAGGGGACTTGCTGGACCTGCACATTTTTCTTCCGTGGCTCGATGATGCTGTTGTAGTCTGTTTTCACTGCAACTTTGAACAATATTTGTGCCTTGTGTAGGTATGGTTTGCAGAAATGGTATATCTGTTTTGATGTCACTTACACATCCTTTGTCATAATCTTCATCATCACTGCCATCAAAAGTATTTTCAAGTTTTATTGTTTTGGTTACTTTCCAGTCCCTCAGCCATCGACCACCAGTTAACTCTTCCACAACCTGCACTTTATTTGGATCGATATGTTTCTTTGGACAGCTGGTCTTCCTCTTTCTTTTCCCATCTGTGGATGCATTTGGTGAATTGTCCTTTGTAGAACTCTCATGCAATGGTAACTTTCCAGTAACTGGTGTTGGTTCTTGTAGCTCATCACTGAAAGATGATGACTTATTGATATTGTTACTTCCAATGCTAGCCTTTTTGAGAGTTAAAAGTGAAATGTTGATGACTTGCTCATCAGAGCCTACAGCAGAATCCCACACTTCCTGGTGTTTAGTTTTGAAATGATTGATGATGCTATCACGCATAACACTACTAAAACTAACAGTACACAGCTTACATTTATACATCTCCACCAGAAATATGTCAAACATCTTTTTTGATGCCAGATACAGGAATTCTTTGGATGCTGACAGAACCTGTCCAGATGCAGTCACATCATTTGAGAATACTGGAGTTGATATAGCTGGTGTTTCCATTATGAAGTTGGCTGTAAAGAGAGGGAAGCACACAAAGTGTTAAATTGTTTTTTTTTTTCTGCAAACATGTATTGGCGGGTATTTACTTAAACACATGAAGAGTAGCCTACAAGTTCAAACTGCATGCCACATTACTGAGTTAAAAAAAAAAAGTCATCAAATCTGCCAAATTTTGTTGAAAAAAATATAACTTTGGTATGTGACATTTTTTAAGAAATTTAAAAGGTAACATAGGTATATTTTTTAGCATGTTTAAATAATTTTATTTGGGAAATGCATTTTGATATTGGAACAAATACAAAAATTAAAATTGCATATGTGTTTGGAATTTAAATACTAGATCTAGTCACGTTAATAGCATAAATTGTAACATTAACAATGAAAATTTGTGCCAGTCTACTATCTTGAATCCTTTATGTGGCATGTATGGGTAATGTTTGAATGTAATTTGTGAATGTCATAAAACAAAATTTCCCATAATACTGAAATGCTTGATTTTGGTGCATTTCAGCAATAAAATTGCTGCCAGTCAACAATGGTATAATATATGTATGAAGTCTTAAAAAGCATCCTTCAAAACATTATGGCCACCAGGCAACCATTATGAAACCAATTTGCAAAACAAAGACCCACAATGCATTATATATGAAGTTTGGACAGAATCCATCAACATTCATGAGCTATTAAAATGGCCACCGATTTGATTCAGATCGTGAAACAAATGCACACATGTGTATCATGATCAATATGCCATGTTTGTACGTGTCAGAGATAAAAGTGGGAATGCACGATCACAAGGACTGACACACGCACAGAAGTGAATCTATAAGTCGCTGTTTTCAGAATACGGAATAATTTATTGTAAAATAAAAACAGTAAACATAGCAGTAAAAGGGCTTCCAGTAACCTTTCACTGGTCACCATTGGCAGTTTTCATTAGGATTTGGCTACAATAAAATCTGTTACTTTTTGAGTTATTCTGAGAAACTATTCAAAACATGTCACCATTCACAGGAAAGAGAATTAAAAATCCAAAAAACATACTGCAAGTGTATAGAATAAATGTTATCATATATTTCACTTTGATATATGAATCTGAAGAATACATACTACATTCTCCCTGTTTACCATGTGTATGCATGTATGAATTTGCTATGAAATTAGCAAAAAGACTAAAAGTAAATTCATTCTCAGTGGAAGCCCAGAACTAATTTTTGTTCAAGGCAATATTAAAGATGCTTGTGCACATGCATTCAAAATAACCTGCAAACAGGGATCTCGCCACGCTGGTCAGCGTTGGTCAGCCCGACCGGCACTCAAAATTAGCGACCACCACGTAAATGATTCTGACCAGTACTATTGTCTGATTGTTATTATAATTATGTACCGACCGACACGCATCCGGCCAGTTGTGGATTATAATTTGGAAACAATAGACCTTGTCGCACGATCTGTAGCGGCTAGTCAATTTTGTGAAATTAGCACCTCTTTGTTTGTAAGTAAATACTTTCTGCGATAGACATTCAAAATCAATTTCATCTCAATATAACATGGTCAAAGCGGAGTTCACGATCTGACAGTTTACGCTACTCAAGAAAAAAATCAACGTGTTTATTGCGTGATTTGGTAAACTGTTATCATTGCGATTCATGTAAAAGCTCTTCTTTCAAGACCTATTTTACCTTTTAAAAATTGCTAATCACTTCTTTCAAAAACCATCATGCAGTTTTCAACTGAAATTGATGTCAACACATCATGCTACAACATCACTTCCGTAATGTAATTTTTATGATCACTACCATTCTAAAAACTTCGGATTCTACCGGCATGCATCATTTTGATTGGTTAATGGAATTATTGACCCATCGGATCAAAGAACACATGCCGGTCAACTAATACGTCACAAACATCATGGCGGGCTGTGTTTTTTACTGAAGCGATCGAGTGATCAAAAAATATCTACTCCCGATAAAACAAAGTCAAATTTTACTTTCATTTCATATCAAAAAAACGAAGTAACATTTTTTTGCTTGGCATCATGACCGAGTAAGAGGAATTATTGGTATAATCGGTGTATAACATCGCAAAGTTATGTAACGTCGTAACTTTGAAAGTTCGGAAGTTTTATTTGTTCGTTCATTGAAGTGAATATATACATTTTAGAAGTTGACGGTACGAATAATAAATTACGACAATACTCCAAATAATTACATGATTCATTTTTTGAAGGAGAATGTATTTGGAGTAAATAAGATCGTGAACATATTCCTGACTGAAACATTTCAAATGCGTTTTATTTTACTTTTTACAATAAAAATTAATATTGCAACAATAATTTATTTGTTTCTGTTTTTAGTCTGCAGCATTCGCATTTCGAATATATTTAATTTTTAAATTCAAACTCGTCTAAATTGTGAAACATAATGGTTTAATTCCAAAAATATTTGCACTGCGACCGAACTCATTAATATTCATTGCTAATTAATTTTTCATATAGCTCATTAATATTCATGACCGACCGGCACTCACGTTGGGCTGGCGAGATCCCTGCCTACCATCACCTTTGCATTTTACATTTCCTTCTTCAGGCTAAGAATTCCAAAGTTATCAGAAGCTTGGTGCTGTAATGGTTACACATGCCTCATTCTGTTTCTGAAGTTTCAATGCTACATTAAGACAACCAAAAAAGATAGAGAAATTGAAATTTTGTAGAACCATGCATTTTTTTAAAAATTATGACCATATTTAAAAATTTTGTTTTGAAAATAATACAAAATTAGGGTAAAATCTTGAGTGAAAAAAGTCAGTGATAAACGTTGGGTGACAGTCACATACAAAGAGCATTATGAAAGAAACATTTACATCAAATCATTTGATATTTCATGGCCTCTAATAAAAAATAAAAAAGATTATGACTGAAAACATGATAAAAATACTCTTGATAATAGTCTAAGTTGCTAAGGATTTCCATAACTTCTTTTATGATTAGTGTTTAGCATCTTTGTGGTATAGCAACTTTAAATTTTACTTTTAAAACAGGCATTTTATTCTTTACAACCATCATTATTTGGAAAATGTTGGAAACTGTTGACAGTACAACACAATATTCTGGTTAACAGTATTCAGGATGCTGTGGTAAGACAACTCATGTATAATTCATACAGAATCAATCTAGTGTTGTGAAATATTAGTTCACGATTAAAATGAAATGTTTTTGCACATTTTATAGCAAACCAAAGAATAAAATATTTTGTATTGAACGATGTCTGAATATTAAGCATGACTGTTAGAACCTTGAGAAGTAAGTTAATTTTGTGTACACATATACGGTCTAGATGATAGTTTGTGAGTCATTTTTATATTCTTCCAACACCCTGTATCATCAGTCAA